GCTCTAAAGCATCGTTGATGCATCTTGGATTCGCTCTGGTCCTCCGTCCCAATCCCCTCATCCTCCCATTCTCCTGCTCCTCCTCCTCCTCCTCCTCCTCCTCCTCCACTTTCTCCTCCTCCTCTTCGTCCTCATCATCATCCTCCTCTCCTTCACTACACTTCGCCTTCATTATCCTGATACCTACTTGGTGTCTCGTCATCTGCGCGATGTATCGGGGAAGCACCGGACGCGCCAGCCTCTCCGTGGGGCCCGCAATGCATCTATTCCTCCCCTCCTCCTCCTCCTCCTCCTCCTCCTCCTCCTCCTCCTCCTCCTACTCCTCCTACTCCTCCTCCTCCTTTGATTCCTCCTCTTGCTCCGTTGCTTCTTCCTCCTCCTCCTCCTCCTCCCTCCTAATCCTTCATCCATCCTTCCTCCTTGAGTTCCTCTTGTTCCCCTTGTTTCCTCCTCCATCCTCCATCCTCCTCCTCCTCCCTGCTCCTCCTCCTCCTCCTCCATCCTCCTCCTCCTCTCTCCTCCTCCATGCCTCATCATCATCATCATCATCATCATCATCATCATCATCATCATCATCATCATCATCACATCATCATCATCATCATCATCATCAGCAGCAGCATCTCATATCATCATCATCATCATTCATCATCATCATCATCATCATCATCATCATCATATCATCATCATCATCATCATCATCATCATCATCATCATCATCATCATCATCATCATCATCATCATCATCATCATCATCATCATCATCATCATCATCATCATCATCATCATCATCATCATCATCATCATCATCATCATCTCATCTCATCTCATCCATCATCATCTCATCATCATCATCATCATCATCATCATCATCATCATCATCATCATCATCATCATCATCATCATCATCATACGCATCCTCCTACGCATCCTCCTGCTCCCTCTCCTGCATCTGCTTCCGCACCGCTTTCGCATCCTCCTTCTCCGCCTCCTCCTCCTCGTCCTCCTCCTCCTACTCCTCCTACTCCTCCTCCTCCTACTCCTACTCCTCCCCCTCCCCCTCCCTCTCCCCCTCCCCCGTCTTGTGCCCTCCCGCGCGCACCGATGGCACCCAGGAAGTCTGCGACGATGGTAAGCATGCCGATGCACATGCCGCCGAAGGCGGCCGCCGTGGGGATGTACATCTCGAGCACATGCACGAGGGAGCTCTCGCGGTGCCCCTTGAACATCATCTGCTGGTCGCGCAGCTGCTTCGCGACGTCGCGCGGGGACGACCCCGACACCTCGATCCAAGTCTTGGAGAAGAGGGCGCAGGAGAGGAGCACGAATGCCACGTAGAAGAGGGCATGGAGGGGATCCTCTACGTTGGAAGCATCTGAATACGCACCACCGCCGTGACTGGTCAGGGCCATCCTGGGCCCTGGCACGTAGTGCACGCCCTCCTGGCCGAGGGCCAGGGGGGCCACGCATCATGATGGCTCCCAGCATGGCCCCGGCCAGGGCACGGCGGTGGTGTTCCAGATGCCCTCTGCGGATCCTCCCAGATGTCGGAAACGTTGCGGGGCGGGGACATGTAGTACGCCAGGCCTCCCACGGGGATCGACTGGCCGCCGTAGTCCTGCTCCTGCCACTGGCCGAGCAGGTTGACCAGCATGTTAGACTTGAAGCGCCTGTACAGCAGCTGCGAGAAGAAGTACCTGAGGCAGAGCATGACCGGAGCTGAGCGGGGTCGGAGGAATCGGGCCAGAAAATAAAGGGAAAGAAAAGAATGAGGGGGACTGCAGGAGGAGCCGTAGCAGGAAGAGGGGAATCAGGAGATAGGAGGCGGAGGAGGGGAGGAGGCATGCGGGAGAGGGGGAGAAAGGAGAGGAGAGAAAAAGGCGGAGGAGGAGAGACCCAAAACAGCGCTTTGAAATTAGCCCTGTGCGTCAGCGCGGTCCGTTGCCCCAGCACTGAGTGCCAGGAAGGTGCACTTGCACTGCGTGCTGGCACTCCAGCCATCACGTGCTCAGCGCAGTGCTGCGGGACCCCGTGACCAAAGCGTATCCTGGCGGCCCGTGAGGGTCTCGAGGTCAAAAATGTCGGGCACGGGACGCTTGGCTCCGGGGCCGTCGGAATCGATGCGAGGCAATCAAGGGTTGCAGGCATACTGGGCTCCTCCTCAGGGGAGCAGGGGCTCGGAGAGCCTCGATATTTATGGCCTCGCGGGTGCTTTGAAGCACTCGGTCTTCGGATCTACGACTACTACTACTACTACTACTACTACTACTACTACTACTACTATTACTATTACTACTACTACTGCTACTACTACTACTACTACTACTACTACTACTACTACTACTACTAAAACTAAAACTACTACTACTGCTACCACCACCACCACCACTACTACTACTACGACCACTACTACGACAACGACTACTACTACTACTACTACTACTACTACTACTACTACTACTACTATTACTACTACTACTACTACTACTACTACTACTAC